TTCCTCCTTCCATTGCTTCACAATATTTTGAACTGTTCTGAAAGGAATCCCAGCTTCGACGCAATTGCAGTGTTCTTCATCCCGCCGCTGGCTAGGCGTGCAATCTCTTCGCGGCTTGTGCAGGCCTGCACCATGGTCTTGAGAACAACTTTCTATTCACAGGCTGATTATCGAAGGTGTGAAGAAAGCAACTGATGCATATTAGCCGGCTTTGATGTTCAAAGCAGTCACGTGATCGCTTCCAAATTCGCGCGCACGTAATTTTTCGCCAACCTGTAGTGCACTATGTCACATGTGACAGAAGTAGGTAGGAACCGAGATAATAAGAAAATGTGGGGGTGGCATAAGCAATTGACGCGCACTGTAGTATTCCCTCGAATCCCCAAGATCCGATGTGGCGCCCTCTCATCGTCGCGCGACTCGCGCGGTAGCAGGCCTATGATTCGACGTTTTAACGCGGCCCTCTGCCGCACCGTCTCCGCAGCCAGATCTCTCAGAAAATCGACACCCGCACCCCATTCATAATCATCCTGAGGGCCTGCTAGAAGGAAGAGATCTGTACCCTCGACGACGCATTGCATAATATCCTTACAAGGAATAATCCATTCCTGCATAGGTACCTCGTAGGTCGAGGAAAAGAGCACGATCGCCGACAATTCTGCCTCAAACCAGCGCCTAGAGATGTCCTTGGGGTCCTTGTACGAGTACGCCTTCTGCTAGTCCTTGGTGAAGCCTTCCGTGTGGTTCTCGAATCCAGCTGGAAGCAGAATGATCGTTCTCTTGCATCTCATGGCCGACCACCTATCGATGGTCCATGGCTTCAACAAGATCGAACTCTTAAGGGCCTCCCATTCAACGCGATCCGCGTCAAACGCTTCGTGCCCGTTCCGATGTCGGTGGCTTTCCCTCGCCTCCAGCTGCGCTACTCGAATCATCTGACTGAGGTGCATACACGCCCCACGAAAATATGCATACGCAATGGCTAAACCTGTTGGAGATAAAGTAACATATGAGTCATCCACTAATAGATCACGCTTCACAGCATCTGACACATGTGTCTGCATTGCTATTGTGATCGCTCGTCCGAGCTCATAAGGCGTCTTCGTGATAAGCTCTGGAATCGGTGCATTTGGGATGATCGTACCCCACGGTCGTGCCATCGCACAAGAGAGATGCTGGTTATGGTGCATGTAAGTTTCAGGACAACAGAAGCCAATTGTTTCCACGTCTTCCGTGTGGGAGCGACGGCTGCTGCTGAAATAGATATGATTACATTTCCGAACCGAACGTGTTTTCAACGTGTTTTCTTTGGTGTCTTCGAGAGAGGTGCCGGCTCAGTCACCACCGGTTTAATCTTTTTCGGTCGCCCTCTTCGTCCTCTTGAGGTATTTCTTCTTACGGGGGTATCATCAATCTCTGGGGGTACCTTAACAAGATGGTCGAACTGTATCCTGAGTGGCTCCTCGTTATCACCTATGAGTGTGATAGGGGCTGAGTTGTCGCTCGCCTCCAACACTCGCTAAGGCCCTCTCCACTCATGCTTCAATTTCGGATGTGAAGACTTCCCTTTTTCTGCTGGAACCTTCATGTAAACTCTGTCACCTGTCCGGAAAACCTCGGACTTGTTCGTGCTTCACCTTTTGTCATAGCTGTTTTTCATTGCCGTGCGGTTCTCTTCAGCACGCTCCGAAATACACTCGCGGGCCGACTTTAGTCCAGCAAGAAGCTCGGTCTTATAGTCATCATAGTTGAATTGGTAGGATGACAGATGTTCCCTTGGTATCACCGAGGACGGATACTGTGGATCGCGTCCGTAACCAAGAAATGAGGACTTTCGCCCGTTGCCGAGTGCGGGATGCGTTGTATGCATACACTACTGTCGTCTTTTTCTTGAGCATGCGAGAGATAGTTCCGTTTACTCTTTCAGTCAACCCGTTTTCACGGGGACAATATCCCTTGGTAAAGTCTTGTTTGATCTTCAGGATCTCGCAAAGTGCTTCAATGACAGCATTCTCGAATTCACCGCCGCGATGTGAGAGTATGCACTCAGGCCACTGGCCTCCGATGCATATCCATTGGCTGAAGATCACCTCTGCTATTGTATCAGCTTTCTTGTCTGGCACAGGATAGGCGCCGAGATACTTTGTGAAATGGTCTACGATGGTAACGATCTATCTGTTACCCCTTGTTGTGATTCCCATTTCTAGAACGTCCACTCCGATTACTTCAAACGGACGT